TTCCTTGCCCAGAACAGCCCGCGCCACGCTACCTTCCAGCCACCTCCTATCAATAAACAGCTGAACTAGAATTGTGTCTCCATAACCCACCAAATCAGGGCAACACAAAACCCCTGACAACTGGTGGCAAGCGGCGGAATGACACGAAGAAGCCTCCGAAAAACTGTAAGTACACCATTGGCAATTTCCTTTTCTTTCCCCTTTCTTCGCCTATGTGTGTAGCCGTACGATTTTCTCACAAGTTCAGTGATTTTTTTTCTCAAAATGCATTTACTTTCCGTGTTTCTGTTATCTACCATGTTTTTTTTTTTTCTCGTCATGGTAGATCGTCGCTTTTTTAAGGGATCAATCCCCACTCACTTGAGAGTGCATTTTCTTTGGCGTGTTTTCCCTTAAATCTAACTCGATCATGCTAGCCTAGTTAGCATAAATCGTATAATGCTTCAAACTTTTATTCGTGTGGGTGAACTATAACGTGCATTTTCTCTATAAATTATTATCTGTTTCTACGGACATTCTAAGCCGCGTGGCTAGAATGATCCAAGTATTGCCATATTCCTGACATTTTTCATTTATTTCTCATTATATCTCACTGCGTTAACCGACGCCATATCGACGTTCAATTCGTATTTTATTCCTAAGTACACTTATTTGGGCTCGGTTTGATAATGCATTTGTGAGATTTTTGAATATTTAAATAATTTGGTTGAATTATGCACAAACAAACATTTCCCCAACCCTTCCCACCTACCCCCATCCCCCATTATCCTAAACCCCCTCCCTTCCTCCTAACCCCTACCCGTTAATCTCCCCTCCCTCTCTACCTACTTCAATATTTCTGTTCAGGCCACTAGCGTTCAATTATTTTTTTGTAGTGATAATGTTTTGTATTTTTTCTTGTCGTATCTATACTTATACTAGAAAAGTGTGCCTTGCTCATTTGTATGTTATATGAATATCAACTTCAATATTTTTAAGCATAAAGTGTTATATTTGTCCTTTAGTGCGAGTGACTTTACACATAGCTGGTCAGGTCATTTAAGGTCTCATCTTGTCAAAAGATGACACACCTCACCTTTTGTGACCTGTCTTGGTACTATTTTCCACATTTTTTCTGAAATTTAATTTATATAACAGGATAATTTACAATAGAGTGATGAATTTACTTCCGGTTTGCATGAATATATTGGGAACTGTAATAATATTAGCATGATTCAACGAATTAAATTGTGTGTTTTTCCTTTACGTTATTATTATAGTATATTTGTGCATATTCCGAAGTATATTTCGATAATTATTCGCCTTCTTTATAGATATATTTCTTCTTTAATTATTCATGTTCATTTATCTGTAATTTGATTATTGTGTACTTGTTTTTCACAATATTATTTAGTCTCGTATATACTAGCTCTTGCTATTTTAACGTATATTTGGTTAATGACCTCACTTGACCTTACTCAGGCAAAATACCCCTCCCCCACCATCTGACTTCGCCCAACTTAAATTACATTCAAGCTATTTGTATTTATATCTTATTAAGTTATCTCCGTGTTAGAGATTGAATGTATTCTACAGCTACTACGATTTCATATTGTTCGTGATTTTCGTTTATCTTAATCACGAACCTCACCTCATTATTACATGGTCCTTGGTGACGACCCACAGCTGGGTATGGACATGTAATTAGGTTTATGAAATTACTGTTAAGTTGGTCTTGTGCCACGCAGCACACCTATCGCCCAGGCGATCTCAGCTCCACACGCCCTCTTATCGCTATACGTGAGATTATCGCTGGTATTCCCCAAGATGGGTACCCAATTGCGTTCTGCGTATGAGCTGGATGATGTGTCCCTTCTACGGTTGGGCCCATCATCACTATTCCTCAGGGAATCTATTTTAATTTTAAGTATCACTTACAACCACGAGGGTTGTCTTTAGGCTGTCAGATAAGGGAAGCTGACCCAAACCAGTCACCGTTTCATTCATTTTACGTACTAATTAGTACCATTTTTATGATTTCGCATAGTAGTTGATTAATATTGAAATTAACGTAAGTTGTTGTTATTAGTGTGAATGTTTTTTTTTCGTGCAGCCAGATCGGTGATTATTTTCATTAAGCGCAATCCACATTGCCACCCCAGCCTACATACCTAACCCCACCTCCCATCCTGACCCATACCTCTTTTACACCCCACCCCACCCCATCCTTCCCTCAGTCTCTCGCCCACCCACTCCTCCTCCCCTTCGCTTATTTCTTCCAACTTCCACGCCATCCCATTCCTTTCTTACTCACTCTCGCCCTTACTTTAACACACTACTAATGACTCTAAAAACTATAATATATCTATAAGCATTCTATTTTCTTCTCGTGTGCTATACTGACTACTCATTTCATAATTCCCACCCATTAAATTAATCAACTCGTCTACGCACTCACGCAGCCACATGCGCACATCGTCTCGCAGAAACCCGTTAATTGCACAAGAATTACATGCGTACTGTTTCCGGAAGATAACCGACTTGCGCCAACCGTGTATTCTTGTCTTACAATACGTTTTATCGTGCATACGTTGTCCTGAGAAAGTACTGAGTAATGAATGTAATGAGTCGCTCCCGAAGTATGAGGACTGCATTACCTGTTTTCATTATTGCTTTGCCTCAAATTGTTGTTGGTGATGTGTGATAGACAACTTCGTTGAAATGAGATACATTTACTATTAGTCAGACGTATACCGTATGCACTATTGCACTGCACACTTCTGAAATCTGCATTGTTGCATTTTTTTCTTTTTTTTTTCCAAGAAAGTTCGTCGTTCAAGACAAGTCCTTGCGGACAGCGACACCTTTTGCTTCCTTTGCAGTTCTGCACAATGCTTATCTCTTGTAGATTTTCATTTCCTGCTATCTGAGACAATTGCAATTCTAGCAAGTCCTTGCGGACTATTGCAATTGTCTCCCTAAGCATGCTCATCTGTCTATCCTTGGACAGTGCACTATTGAAAAAAATAAATAAAAATTGAAAAATCATGCAAATAATTGAATTGACACTGACATTGCAATCTGATATTTTGATTATATCTTACGGCCCTTGCTATTACACCCCCCCCCCCCCCACCTGTTTGCCCTCCTGTTGTCTTTCTTGCCCTGTCTCTGCCTCTGGTGTACTTATTTCAGAGAACGCCAGCTCCATGCCGTCGGGGGCGACGGTTAGTAGCGTATGCCGAGCGATCTGAGGAACAAAGGTTACCTTCCCGCGTCTCCACTACTAGGGACCCGCGACCAGCGCTCGAAGCCACAAGACAGTTGACCCAACACACTTGATCGGGGCCCACGGCCCTGACCACACCTCTCCTTGGGAGCGCTCCCCCACGCGCGCCCCGCTCGGCGCCCCTCTTGGGCTTCCTTGCCCACAACAGCCCGCGCAACGCTACCTACCAGCCACCTCCTATCAATAAACAGCTGAACCAGAATTGTGTCTCCATAACCCACCAAATCAGGGCAACACAAAACCCCTGACAGAGAGAGGGAGAGAGAGAGCGCTTACAAATACATTATAATTTCCTTCATGTAATATAACAGATAACCAGTTTTCATTCTATTTATCAAAGATAACAAATATTCAAAAATATTTTGAGGCTTTTTAATGCTTTAACCATGGACCATACTGAACCACATGCTAGTGAAATATTGTGAATTCTCTACACTTATGGCTGGCATGCACTATCTTTAAAGATATGTGGCTAAAAAGCCAACTTCTGAGGGGCTGTATATCCTCAATGAAAGCAGTCAGGGTTAAGTGAACAACTGTTTAGTGTACCCAACTTGAACAGGCTTGACCACTCATTGCATGGATGCTCTTCACTCTGCATTTGAGCCTGGTTCACCATGGCATGAGTAGACATTATCTAGCATTAGGGGGTTAAAACACAGGTAGTGGACATACAAAATACACTCTTGTATTCTAAAGATTTATAATAAGCTATGAACCAAGTGCATTAAGTATAATACTGCGGTGCTTCTACATATTCTACATGTGATATTAATATTCTGTGTTTCATGTAAGATGTGAGTAATTCTTGTTTTTCTATATTATGTGCTTAGAACACTCAAGTTAGCATTATTATTATTTCCTCACACATTAGTAACTTCACAGTTGTAAATGAACCTGAAAGGTTAATTTGTACTAAATTGAGGATCAATCAATTGAATTCTTGGTGTTATACTTCAATTTCATGCTCACTTATTTTCATAACTGTTCCTGCAAATGCGCCTGAACTCCAAGTATGATGAAAACATTAAAGAATTTATTCATACTTACCAATCCTTATATTCTTATAATCAGGTATATAGTTGAACTAAGGTTCTTCAAAAACTCCTGGGAGTTCATATATCTAACAATGTCGTCTCATTGTGAGTGTTCCATTATACCTTATCTAAAAAGCTGCTGGCAGTTATCATTTCCACAGGTAATCTTTACTACCTCAGAAAATCATCAAATTATCATTCCATGTACACCTTATAGAGGGGAATAATCCTTGACATTAGATATTTAATATGCTTACCAACACATGTGTTATTACTATTATGCAGCATGCAACAAGCCATGAAGACAAATATTTTCTAATCATTTTCACATTTATCAACTGAAAGCCAATACAATGATTTGGAGCCACAGCAAATAATTAATATTATGATAAAAAAACACTCAAAGGCAATATACCTAAAACCTCAATGTCCCTACATATATAAACACTCTTTACAAATGTTTACCAGTAAAATGAGAGGAAAGTAAAGGAAAGGATGGGTGTGGTTTGATATGCAAGGTCAAAATGAAAGGGAAATTTAAGCCTAGCTAAAGCTGTCTGAAACTCATGCGGCTTATAAGTATGTAAATAGAGTCATACGTCTTTATTCATAAACATAATTTATGAAGTGCCAGGCACCCAACATTCATTCACTTATAATGGAGTTAGAAGATAGGGCAAATCAATTAAACAATGCACATATTACATGATATATTTTCAGGACAACCTGTACAAGCAAAGTTGATTTTCAAATAAATAAGTTATCCTAAAAAATTAAAATATTAGACTGACTTTTATGCACAGCATCACTTCAATAGTATATATGCAGCTTCATTCACTTAAATGATGTATTGTTGAATCACTGAGAGTTTTGACAATATCACAATAAATATGTCTTAAGCTCTCTTTTGATGGATACCTCTTAGAGTTATGTCTCCTGAGAGACTGGCAGTTTCGAGCTATTGTAAAATATGAATAGTGTACCCTGTATAAACAGAACTTCTCTCTTGAGAATAGACATTGCAATGGGAAAAATAAATAATGTGGATTAGGATTATTCCTACCATACACAAGATTTCACTAATTAATCTGCATTCTCTTAATGCATTTAGCATTTTAAAAATTATGTCTGATGACACAAAAATTATATCCAACCGTTGTATTGTATGCCAAAGGAACATATGATGGATGAGTAAATATGATCATGACAGAGAGGTAAACCCACCTACCTGTGTTTCTGTACTTTCATCAAAGTCTCTTGCAAACACTTTGGCAAATTATATTGCAAAAATGCATGGTGACAACTATTTGTTGCTTAACCAAACCATTCTTCTCAATTGCAAATATAGTAACTGTGAAGTAAAATATACTCTGAGACTTCATTGCAAATATGAAATGAGTCTAATGGAAAGCAGAATTAAGTGGAGCAGCCAGACGGTTGGCAAAGACTTATTCAAAGTACAATTCTGTGTGGAATAAATGTTATATTATAAGATATAATAAACAATATACTAGTAATGCTGTCATATAAAGGGGAACCATTAGTTCCTAACACAGCCGAAAGTGGCAGTGAACAGTTTTTACCCAACTCTTTTGAACACTGTGATCACATTAATCTAAATATCTATATCATTCATTACATGAGATCTACAATGCAGAGTCAATTGTTAGCCCATTATGGAATGAAGGATAGAACTCATTGCAGTATCATCAATTTCTAACCTATCACTTGCAAAAAGTCAAGTTTATTCTCACAAACATAAAGGGAGAATCTTTACATCAAAACATCCAGTTGTATTCATATTTCTCAGGATTAACCTTGTTTAAAATGTTTGACAAGTCATATATTCCATTGCTCTACTCACAAAACATAATTACTTATGTACATGGCAAGGTTATCTGGACTGGATGAAAACGGCTTCTTGCGGGAAGAGTCCAGCTGCTTTTAGGGTAATGTTGAAATCCATGTATGAGATTTCTCGCCGGGGGAAGTTGGTCACCAGCTCATACTGCTCATTGCTGTAACCTTTGCTGCCAACATACTTTATAAGTGCCTGCAGGAAAATTTCACTTTATATAATGCAGCTCTATATTATCTGTACAAAAGTAATTCTACTGCCTATTCACTTTACTAAAAAGGTAATATAAAGAGAGGGGAAAACTTATTTTCTACATTCCTTTTACAAACTATCTGATCATTTACATTCATTTTTTTCTTTATCAACTATCTTAACCATCTTCTCCAATGTTCTTACTTTAAAAGAACTAAGGCATCCTTTTCTCTTTCAGTTCCCATATTTTTCTCTCCCCTGCTTGATTTCCTTACCTTAACTTTGTATTTTCTCAACCTCTGCTTCTAGTTCACAAGCTTCCTTCTTACTTCTTCTTTAATTAATGCAATTTTTCTATTGGGATTGTTTCTTTCCACATGAGTCACAAATAAGAAGAGAGAGAAATAATCACTTAAAAAATTATGTTAGTAACTTACCATTAACTTTGAGGAAGAGGGCATGCTGATGATGTCTCTGGAGCCATCTGGCAGCCTCAGCATCAGCTTGGAAATAGGGTCTGTTTCCGGACCAAGGTACATTTTCCAGTCATCCTCACTACCAGAAGAATTCTCAGCCTCACATGAATTTTCTCCTGATGCTATACTTTCACTGCTGTTTGTTGAACTGTCCCCTATACTGGAGGAAATTTTTCTAATAATTTTTGCTTCACCATTAAATGTTCTCTTCAATGATTCTTTCTGAGTAGGTTGAATATCCTTCAAGGAATAATCCACATCCTCTGAGTCTGATTCGAAAGTCTCCAGAGTGTCTGGGTCCTCCTCTTCCTCTTCATCTGTGTCCTGAGTAGCAGCAGCTGTCACTCTGTCTTTCTTCTCCTCAGCCTCAGCAAGGGATGCCTTAATAGCTGCTTCAAGCTGAGATTCTTCATCTGCTTCAAGTATACTAGTATCTTTTTCCTATGGGAAGATATATTTACTTAATACATTTATAACTGCTACACTGACAGAAAACCCCCAACTAGATTTTTTAAAAATCACACTTAAGGAGAGATTGTTATATATTATCTGCAGGAGGCATAGGTATTCCTTAACATATAAGGAAACAAACCACTGCTTTGCATATATATGTCAAGCTTTGACTTTGAACCAGATGTTAGATTTGTCTGTCACTTCTCCATTCTATTGAGTTATTTCAATTACATGCAGAAATATGCTCAGAACATGAAAGAATACTGGAATTGATTGTGGCCCCTTTTACATTTACTTTATTAAAAGAAATCAAGGTAAATCAGGGGAGTGTCAAAGTGGAAGAATATCCATCCATCCCCCCCCACATACAGATAAATAAACACATACATACAAAAAGACATATAAATATATACAAACATACATAAATTCAAATAAATATATATTCATGCTTAAATACAAACAAATATATAAGTATATACAAAAAATATGTATAAAAACATATAGATACATAAATATATACATACATATATAAATATACACACAAATAAATACAAATGTATACAACAATATACATACATATATGAGAATATATATACATACATATATGAATATATACAACCATATATATATGAAAATATACATCCATACATATATAAATATATGCATACACAAATACTTACACATATAAATGTATACATACATATATACATATACATATATAAATATATTCAGACTTACACACACACATACACACACACACACACACATACATAATATATATATATATATATATATATATATATACTATATAATATATATATATATTATACACTATATATATATATATAACATATATTTATACATTATACATAACCACACATATATATATATACCAATTATATATATACACATATATAGTATAATACACACATAAATATAATATATACTAATATTAATTATATAATATAGTTAGTACATATATAATATATATATACCACACACACACACACACATATAATATATATATATTATAATTATATATATATATTATATATATATCCCACTACATTAATATTATACTATATATATATATACACCATTATATACAATATATATATAGATACACAATATATATATATATACACATATATATTATATATATATATATATTATTAGTATATATATATATACATATATATATATATAGTATATTGTATATCCAACACGCATATATGATTACATATACTACATATATCAACATTATATATACTATATATATATATATATATACAAGTATATATATATATATAATATATATATATTACTATATATATATAATACTAATATAATACATACAATATATATACATATATAATATATATATATATATATATATTACATATATATATATATATATATATATATATATATATATATATTATATATATATATACATATATACATATAATTCATATATATACGTATACATATATTATTATATATATATATATAATATATACTATATATATATATAATATA